TGTGTCTCTCTTACACCTGTGAATCACTCGCCTGTTACCCCTTTTCACCTTTTGTGACATTGTCTGTTCCTCCCCTCCGTGAAGTCTGAAGTTAGCTAAATGGCTGATGATAACTATCAAGACGCCTGCCGTTTGATATAAATAAATACGCAGAGTGATTAATCAGCCAAAGGTTGGAAAAAATGTGGCTAACGATCAAGATTTGTAATCATGGGAGTTAGATGGGCAGTAGTCACATTTGGCTCCTACAATTTACAGACTTGGTGCCTTTTCATAATTAATGATCATGTCTGCCTTGGGAGCGATTTATCTAGACTATACTCGCTTCGCGATGTTGGCTCTACCAACTACTGGAAATAGATTTATTTACTGTCTATTTTATGAGCCATCTACTACTTCGTCTTGTCTTTTTAGTGTCAAAAAGTTATTTAGTCAGCTTGAATTGTCTTGGATTGACGCCTGATCATCGTCTGGGGACATAGAGAAGGGCAGAAGTAAAAAAAAAGATGATTGACAATTTGACATTCATTTGGCATTTAGAAATCGAAGGAGCGTTCGCTTTCTTTGCTAAGTACCAGCAGGTAGGCTGTTATCGTCTATGTGTTGTTAAGAGGTGGTTATCTTTCTTTCTTTTTTTCATCCAGCTTCGTATCAAACGGGAAGGAGAGAACCTTTCAGTGCTGGTGATTGTGAAGGAGCGCATAACCACTGCCAGTGTTGCACGTCTTATTACTGAAGTTTCAGAGTCCACTCCACTCTATTCTGGTCTGAAAGCGTCGCATTGTGTCAGTGCCAATCGCACTAACAATTTGGTAAGTTGTTGGAGTATGGTAGCTTCGAGGTGCTGCAGAGGGTGAGCTATCAACCTTGTAACTTTGTATGATCTCTAGGTCTCAACAAATTGGGCTTGAGGGACGAGGCGGATTCGCTGTGGGGGGGGGGGGGGGGGGGGGGAGGGAGGCAAGTCAGTATGAAAAGGGATTCTTTTGAGGAGTAAACAATCACGAGAATGGAATAGTAGTTTGGAAATAAAGCTTCAAAGGGAGTCCCGAAGATGTCGCTCTCGTCAGTGAAATGTCTGCGGTTCTTATTTGTCAAGTAACTTGAAGAGGGTTTCAAGATTGAGAAGGCATCACAGCTCTTTCCAACATGAGAAGATGAAGGGTTGAGTGGGAGTGAAAGAATGGAAGAAGGAAGTTCATTGAGAGATGGAATTTTATATACCCTAGTCCATTTCCTTTTCTATTTGACATATTTAATATTTTGTATCACAGTCTAGCGTTGCCAACTGGAATTTAAGGGATTGATTGCTCTCTTTCTAAATGAAATTTTATGATTGGGTTATTTTTAAAACAGATAGAGAGGTTGTGTGTCGTGTTTGTAGTGGTCAATTTGTATGTTGCTAATCAGTTCACTCGCATAGATTACTTCTACTCAACAAGATGGCTGGTAGATGGCCAATTTCTCAACAGAATTATTTCAGCCTGTTTTCTCTCTGTCGAAGTCTTGCGATTTTCAATTTTTATAACCACAGGATGTGACAGGAAGGTTAAATGGTGCTTTGTCGTACATGAAAATGTCAATGTCGACTCCACACCATTTCTATGGGAGGTTATGCGCTAGTCATCAATCTGTCGGTGGTTTGACCAGCCATATGGATTTATGGTGATTAGTAGCCAATACATTCTCTTGCGGACAATCTCAATCTGGGTAATGCAGTTCCCTGTTGCATAGATGGTACCTGAATAGCAGTCATATAAGCATCTATCGACTTGATTCACCTTGTCGGGTTGGGTCTTTTCTCCCTGAGCAACTTGAAGACAACCCCACAACATTTTAATAATAAGCGAGGCCATTTGAACTTGCTTAATCTGTAACCTAGCCTCATGCAAAAAGGCTACGTTTTTGTGGTCGAGTTGATTACTAATCGATTGGTCTAAAATTGAACTTTCAGGCTTCGATGTCCACTGGTGAACAACTTGATGCTTTGGATGGATTTCGTACAAACAAATTCAATATTCTTGTTGCCACCACAGTGGTGGAAGAGGGACTGGATGTCCGCGCTTGTAATGTGGTCATCAAAGCGGATGAACTCACCAGTTTCAGGTCTTTTATTCAAGTTCAGGTAAGGCTTTTGGTGCCTGGATTGTAGGGTCATTTCTAACCTTGACTTCTTGGTTTTTTAGGGCAGAGCTCGGGCCAAAGTGTCCTATTTTGTCTTGATGACTGACGATGAGCATAAATGTCGCACGAGGGTTGACGCTTTTCTAGAACTTGAGAAGGTTAGTTAAGTTTTTCGATCAAATGGCAGGCGCTTTTTGATAGTTACATTAACCCTTTGGCTCACCTCGGGCTTCACAGAGGCGTGGGGAGGGGGGGGGGGGGGGAGGAGCATTAAAGACACAAAATGTCGTGAGGAAGGGGGGAACAAAAGAGTGTCTTACAGATATAAAGGAGACAGACCGACACAAAGGTAGGGAAAAAGGTAAGGCGAGTGCCGTGAAAGTGGTGGAATATGGCATGCATTGGAGTCATTGTAGTTTGAAGTAAGAAGTCAACTGCCGGGTTATAGCGATTAGTTTGAGCACGATGATGTTATTGAACTGGTAGTAATGCTTTTGTCCTATCGAATTGGAGAAAGCGGTTAGCTTCATGAGCACTCTGTTCGCCATTGTCTTGCTATTACCAGAGTCCACACTGCACAACCCAATGTGGGAGTTATGTCACCACCCACTAATTTTAAATTGCCTCTTCCATTAATGCTCGCTTGGTTCGAGCAATTCAATTGAACCGAACAGTAATTCTGAAGGCAAGTGGGGGGGGGCCTTAAGTATAAAGCGCGCCTCTACTGGAACGTAAATTACGCGGAAGTTGTTGATTTTATAGTTAGGAAACTCCGGTTTGTTTCCTCTATAATTGTGCTATTTTTTTTAATCGGATGTAGATATTCATGATATATTTGGACAAATTTATTTTATACTGCGGTAAAAATCACTGTACTCGTCTTAGCTTGATGCATTTATCAGATGAAGAGATTCAAGTAATTTCGGCAGTTTGACATTAACTGATTTATGTGCAAATCGGTTGGTGATATTAATTGACTACACTCACAATTGGTTTTCAGACTCAAAGTTACTTGCAGAGTGAAGGCGGTTATACCAAATGACAATCGTCTAATCGGTGGTGGTGGTGGGGGTTGGAGGGCTGATGACAGATGTCGGCTTGACCGCCAAAAAAATGATGACAACTATTGACCGTGTGGAAGTCAACTAAGCGTTGTGCTGTGGTGTTTTGAGTCATGTTAATTGATTTTCCCAACAGAGGATAAATTTGACGTAATGATAATTGGGGGTGGGGTGTGCGATAGACTTACCTCCACGTGGCTCGCCCTGGGCAACTTATACTCATACGGCAAGAAAGTCTATTAACCGGCAGTTGACTTCTCACTTCAAACTACAAGTCTATTAACTGGCAGTTGACTTCTCACTTCAAACTAACAAGTCTATCAACCGGCAGTTGACTTCTGACTTCAAACTACGTCTATCAACCGGCAGTTGACTTCTCACTTCAAACTACCAATCAGCCCGACTGCTTGTCATATTCAACCCCTTCAACAGCACTCGCCCCACTGTATGTCATATTCGACTACTTCCACAGTACTCGCTGACTCCATGTCATATTCGATCATTTTCACAGTACTCACCACTGTGTGTCATAGTTGACCACTTCTACAGTATTCACCTTACCCTACTCTCTATTATTGTGAACCCACTTATGTCATATTCGACCCCTTTCACAGTAATCATCTTACCTTACTGTGTCATATTCGACTACTTCCACAGTACTCACCTCACCTACAGTTGACTTCTCACTTCAAACTACCATGACCCCACTGTACGGTAGTTGACTTCTGACTTCAAAGACAAAAAAGTCTATTGATCGGCAGTTGACTTCTGACTTGCAAAAAGTCTATTGATCGGCAGTTGACTTCTGACTTCAAACTACCATCACCCCACTCTATATCATATTCGACTATTTTTACAGTACTCACCTCACCTTTGTCCATATTCGACCATTTCACAGTACTCACCTCACCTTTTTTCTTAAATTCGACCACTTCAACAGTACTCATCTTACCTTTTCTCTTCGACTTCTCACTTCAAACTACCATCACCCCACTGTATGTCAAATTCGACCCCTTCCACAGTACTCACCTCACCTTTGCTCTACTGTCGACTTCTTCCACAGTACTAACCTCACCTTTTTTCTACCTATTTCTCACTTCAAACTACCATCACCCCACTGTATGTCATATACCTCTGACTTCAAACTACCATCACCCCACTGTATGTCATATTTCACCACTTCCACAGTACTCACCTCGCCTTTTTTCTACCTTCAGTTGACTCTAGCTACCATGACCCACTGTATGGCATATTAGTCTACTTCCACAGTACTCACCTCACCTTTTTTCTACCTCTGAGTCTGTTGCTTCACAATACTCATCTCACCTTTTTTCTACCTTTGTGTCTGTCTCTTCTTCACCTTTTTTCTACCTTTGTGTCTGTCTCTTTTACATCTATGAAACACTCTTCTGTCCCCCCCCCCAATCTTAACCTTTTTCACTTTCTTCACCTTTTTTCTACCTTTGTGTTTGTCTCTTACATCTTTTAAACACTCTTTTGTCCCCCCCCCCATCTCGACTTTTTTCTCTTTGATATTCCTTTCCCCTTCTCGATTTTTTTTCACTTTGAAGTCAACTAAAGGGCTAATGATAACTACCAAAACGCCTGCCATTTGGTATAAATAAATAAATAAATATAATTGGGGGTAAATTAGAGACCTAAGGTAATGTTGGCTGAGTCGAGATTATATCTTGGTGTGAAAATCTCTGCCGTGGAAATAGGCACTTCCTCGGGGGGGAAATCCGGCATCATTCAATTGAAGACGCAAGGCTTGAAGAGTTCATATGAAGGCTCCTCATCTGGGTAGCATTTCACTGGGGTCTTAGTGCCCAAGGGTATTATTGTTTGTTTTCTTTTTTTTTGCTTTGTATAAAGTTTTTCGATGTCCCCCCCCCCTCCCCTATTGGTCGTACTTTGTTGTAGAAAATTGGAGAGTCCCTTCAAGGTCATTGTATTGACAATAGCGATGAAGAATTGGAGAAAGATTATGGTGATGTCACTCAAATTGCCAATACCTCTTATATGCCCTACGGGATTGATGGACCGCGTGTTACTGCCAGCGGTGCCGCGTCGGTGCTCATGCGATACCTGGGTTTGATTAAGACGGATACCTCGTATCCCCTTAAGATTCTATACTCAACCAAGAAGGAGTTTGGAAGCTACCAAATTCAAATGCTTATGCCACCTCCATCACCATTGCAGGATATCATCAGTGTAAGTTATTTGATGAAGTTGTTGCTGCTCTAAACCGGGTCACCATTGATTTATGGCACACCAGATACTTGTTTAACTCAGACCCAATCTCTCCCCTCCACTGAAGTACGATCTTTGGAAGCTATGTTTTAGTGCTTGTGAGTATTAAGCTAATTCTCTGGTTTTAACTGGCCATCTTCAAGAACATTCTCTGTATGCTGTACAACTTGTTCTTATCATGTGTTCAGTCGCTTTTATGCGCTAATGAAACACAATGGTGTCAAAATACACACACACACACACACACACACGCACACACACACTTTGAAGTTCGGAAAGCAGTTGGTGAAGGATCATGCTAGATGATTTTTACTATTGAAGTAGATCAATGTTTATCTATTAATTTATTTCAAATGGCAGGCGTTTTGATAGTTATCATTAGCCCTTTAGCTGACTTTGGACTTCACAGAGGGGAGAAATATCAAAGTGTGAAAAATTCAAGAGGGGGTCAGAAGAGAGACTTACAGACAGACACAAAGGCAAAGACAATGTGAGTATTGTAGAAGTGGTCGACTATAGCAAACGGTGGGGTAATGGTAGTTTGAAGTGAGAAGTCAACTGCCGGTTTACAGACATTTGCCGTATGAGTATACGTTGCCCGGAGAGCACCACGTGAAGGTAAGTCTACCGCACACCCCAAGTAGACCAATGTAGATGATAGTGAAGAACTCATTACCTCTGTAGGCATTCTATAACGAAACCAATCTAATATCTACTGGTAGACAACTCGAAAGGTAGGTATAGCTTCCTCTCATGGGTGTTCTATTCAACAACAGCCAAGTATGTTTATTTATTGAAGCATTTATATCGATCTCATAAGAGATTAGAAACGNTTTGAAAAGTGCTTATTTTCCCCTCAAGATCATACCTCTGCCCCAATTAAATGCCTTCGATAGTGTCCTTGAATTATAGGAAATATATATCATACTTATTGAACTGATAATAAGTTAGATCTGGATCTTTCTTGTGGACATTTTGAAGAAAGAGGGGACAATTAACTGAAAATTAATTAATATAAATGGCAGGCTTTATGGTAGTTATCGTTCGCCCTTTAGCTGACTTCGGGCTTCACANCACACACACACACACGCACACACACACTTTGAAGTTCGGAAAGCAGTTGGTGAAGGATCATGCTAGATGATTTTTACTATTGAAGTAGATCAATGTTTATCTATTAATTTATTTCAAATGGCAGGCGTTTTGATAGTTATCATTAGCCCTTTAGCTGACTTTGGACTTCACAGAGGGGAGAAATATCAAAGTGTGAAAAATTCAAGAGGGGGTCAGAAGAGAGACTTACAGACAGACACAAAGGCAAAGACAATGTGAGTATTGTAGAAGTGGTCGACTATAGCAAACGGTGGGGTAATGGTAGTTTGAAGTGAGAAGTCAACTGCCGGTTTACAGACATTTGCCGTATGAGTATACGTTGCCCGGAGAGCACCACGTGAAGGTAAGTCTACCGCACACCCCAAGTAGACCAATGTAGATGATAGTGAAGAACTCATTACCTCTGTAGGCATTCTATAACGAAACCAATCTAATATCTACTGGTAGACAACTCGAAAGGTAGGTATAGCTTCCTCTCATGGGTGTTCTATTCAACAACAGCCAAGTATGTTTATTTATTGAAGCATTTATATCGATCTCATAAGAGATTAGAAACGTGTTATCCTGTCTTCAGGGACCGAAGTGCTCAAACAAAGAATTGGCCAAGCAGTTAGTTCGAGTTGAAGCGTGCAAACGTCTACATGAGGCTGGTGAGTTGGCATTTTGGCTTCTATAACCTGCGCGGAGCTAAGCTCTTGAACATGTGTCCGGTTTCGAGGCTACTCTTGTGCGCTAGCGCTTGTTTACTTGTGACTGCACCTCGGTTTGCTCTTTTCTGTGCGCGGGAATTGGAGCGAAATGATTGGGTTGCCAAATATTTATATCAAATGGCAGGCGTTCTGATAGTTATCATTAGCCCTTTAGTTGACTGCAGGCTTCACAGAGGGGAGGAGGAACATCAAAGTGGAAAAAAGTCGAGAGGGGGGGGGACAGAAGAGTGCTTCAAAGACGAAGGTAGAAAAAGGTGAGGTGAGTACAGTGGAAGTAGTCGAATATAACATACAATGGGGTGATGATAGTTCGAAGTGAGAAGTCAACTGCCAGTTAATAGACTTTTATGCCGTATGAATATACGTTGCCCAGGGTGCACCACGTGGAGGTAAGTCTATCACACACTCCGGGTTCCCAAATATGCATCGATCATTCTAGCTCTTCATGGTGTCTCCCCACATATATGCCGCTTATGTTACTCGAGTCTCATTACATGAAAGGGGAATTGGAAACCGCGCACAGCAGCAAAACTCGTAGAAGAAGCCATTTTGGAGGACATTCAAGCATTTACTTATCATTAGTTCTTGTCCCCCAGTACATTATTCTTTTCAAATGAGGCATATTTTTTGCGTGTACTTTTTACTTTGAGAGTACGACGATTTGTTGGATCTTTCGTTTGATTATAACTGATTTAAGTGCCTTCTCTTGAAATTTTACAGGTGATCAAATTGTGTGTGTGGAACTATTTTATCCAGACAAAATTGCCTCAATATTGTCTTTGTAAAGGTCTGCCGCAGTTTTATCTGCGTTTATTTACGTTTGCACTCTCTTGATTTCTTAAATTATCGAATTAGGTTCTGTTTGTTATTCTCCGAAGCTTTGTATGGTTTGGCATGCAATTCTCCTCCACGTAATGTCTGGTGTACTTTGCACCGGGATTGGTGGCCTTCCCACCAATAGGCAAATCACACGACCAACTTCTTCTAATGTCATGTCGACCAATCACCTTGTTCCATACTCAAAGCTCTTAATTTATCTTGCTTTATCAGTGAAATCGATAAATGGGGGTTTTGTGTGTTTCTCTAGAGTGCATTTAGCCACATTGGTTAACTTAAACCACGAATATATAATTACTTTGCTCAGTGCTGCGATCAAGTTAAGTTAGTAGAAAAGTAGGTTGGTTTTTTCGTTAAGCTGAAAAATCAATGTGGCAATTGTAATGTTCACTAAATTCGCTGAGGTAGCATTGTTTTGGGG